ATTTTTTTTCCCCCCCCCCCCCCCCTCCACTCCCCTCCACTCCCCTCCCCTACACTACTAGCATTCTGGACACACCATCACACCATAAGGTGAAGTCATGCGCTTAGCAGTCACAGCAGTACGACGCTGGCCATGAGGTTGCGCAATACAGCACGAACCCTGCACAATGAGGTTGCGCAATGCGGCTTCGATGCTGCGCGTGCGCGCCCGCCAGCCTGACATAGCGCATACTGCGTTCACAGACCATATTGCTCGACACCAACGAGCATCGATGTAACACAGCCTCTCTGCAAAGCCCTGTGGAGAAACCTCTCGCTTCGCGGAGCCTTGCGTGGCCACATCTTACCGCATCGTGGAGCATCGCTACACAGTTATTTACGCACCCTTCCTATCAGCCACCCACCATAGCGTGACGTCCATCCCTGGCAATACCGGCGGTTTCGACGCAACGCGTGCAGGCCTGTAATCCTGACACGGTGCGTGTAGCTGTGGGAAGATAGCTGGTCAACATGCGAGCGTTTACGCATTGCGACTTTTATGCGCGCCTGTTTTCATACACCTTTACACAAACAAGCGTCAACGTAACGCAGCCTCTCTGCAGAGCCGGGTGGCGCAATCTGATCGCAACGGTGTTCCTCTTGAGCCTTCTTGTGCTCCTTGGCTTTGTTGGTTCCATGCATGATTGAGCAAGGGAAACGTTCCTGAAATACCGGAGACAGTTCTTCACTAGACAAGGTCCCGACAGTTACCCGGTCCGTTACGTTTTTACCTTTCGTGTTTCCGTACGCAAGTCTAAATGTAATCAAAACTAACTTCATAAAATACATAATTACAACATAACACATTTAGAACCGGATAATCCCATATGTTAATAAATTTACTAGATACAGGAATTTTTGGTGATTAGCAATAAATTGGTGGCAAAAAATATTTTACATACGAAAATTATAGAAAGAAGGAAAATTTGATTCTTTATGTGAATCGCTCGCTGAGCGATCAGGTTTGAACTAATTCGTACCGCCCTTAGCTGGGTGGGCTCAAAGCTTGAGGAAAACCGGCGCGTGTTTGCGGTTCGTTCCGCTTCGACCTCGCTTGCACTTGGTTCGGGACTTCGTTTGCCTGACCGCTTTTTCTACATTGGTAGCGGAGCCCTGTGAAGGGGCTCCGCTGCGCACTTCGCGACGACGAGCCGCCGAAGGTCCGGGATAAGACCAGGGTCACGGACGGTTCGAAGAGCTCTTTGTGTTTGCCTCCACCTTTGCTTGGTTTCGTGCACTGGCTACCTGAACACCCCAGCCACCAAGCAGGTGATTGAAGAGCTCTATCCTACCATGCCGCCTCCGAAGAAGACTGAGACCCAGGCACCCACCGGCTCACGAGATGGTGGAGGAGGCTATACGGACCTGAGGGATAGCTATGTCCCCACCTTCTCAGGCCAACCGGCCGACTACAAGGAATGGCGCCAGCGGATCCATCTCTATCATCGCAAGATGATGCTCACCAAGAGAGGCAATGAGTCCGTCCTGAACATCATTGGATCTTTCTAAGGAGTCACCTGGCGACTTTTCCAGGATTGGAGCCTCGAGGAGCTGGAGAAGGAGTCATATTTGGACAGCATCATTGCTACGTTGGATGCGAACTTCCAATACGATGCCCGAGTTCAGTTGCCCAACGACTTTGAGGGCTACTTCAACCTGCTCCAACGTACAAGCGGCCAGACTCTGTTGATGTTCGTGGCCGACCACGAAGAGGCTTACAGGAAGCTCCAACAACACAAGGTCGAACTTCCGGCCTCAGTTTAGGGCTGGCACTTGTTGCGACATGCCTCCATCTCCAAGGAACAACGACAGATGGTAACGCTGAAGGCCCCGAGTTTGGAAAAGAAAGATGTGATAGAGGCCCTCTACCTGCTGCTCGGTCAAGACTACAAGGGAGGAACCTGGCCAATGGAGCGCAAGCGATTTGGCTTTGCACCATGGCGCAACAACCGTGCCTACATGGCCGACGACTATGATGATGAAGAGCCATGGGAGTCAGGTTTCTATGAAGGTGATTGGACTGAAGAACCCACCTATGCCTCCTACGAGGACTATGACTACGAGCCTGAGGAGCCCGACGAGTTTGACAATGAAGCAGGCTACTATGGTGAAGAACAATAGCCTGATCCCGATGCCGAGCCTGTCAGCCCTCAACACATGGCTGAAGAGTACGACCACGCCTTTGCCTCGTACACAGATGCTCGGAAACGGTTCCAAGAGCTGAAGATGGCCAGAGGATATCTTCCAGTGGTAGCTTTGACCGATGGCTCACAGGCACCAGTGTCTCCTGCATCCAATGCTACTACATCACCTTCCTCTTGGCGCTCAAAAGGAAAAGGGAAAGGAGGCTCCAAGTCTGGCAAGTCCAAAGCCAAGACGACAATTCGCTATCTACCCACCTCAAGGTGCTGGTAAAGCAGATCCCAAAGGAAGAGCTCGTGTAGCGCTTACTTGTCTGAGGTGTGGCCAACCTGGTCATTGGGCGGCCAACTGCCCACAAGGTTCAAGCAGCTCAGCTTCCAAGGCTGGAACGAAGAGGCCCGCTCCTACGGAAGGCATGGCATTTGCAGCTCAACCCGAGGAACTTGCTCTCCTACCTTCCAAGACGCCAACGGCTTGGAGCGATCTGACTGCGCTATGCTGGATCCTGGTGCAAGTGCATTCCTTTCAGGCTATGGCCCTTTCCGCAAGCTGCTGGAGCATTATGAAGACCTTGGCTATCCCACCGATCTCATTAAGATGACAAAAGGCCGAAGACGATTTCAGTTCGGTGGAGACGCCTCCCAATGGTCCGACTGGAGCACACACCTTCCGGTCTTCGTTGATGGCAAGTACGGAATAGTTGAAGTGTTCTTGCTGCCGGGCAATACGCCCTTGCTTTGTGGAAGACCCATCATAGAAGCCTTGGGCATGACAATGGATTTCGCTAACAAGAAGCTCAAGATTGGCGGATCACCTTGGTAACCGGCTACGCTTGGTCGACAGGGAGAGTATCTGTGGCCCCTCACTTTCGAACACGACCTGATTGAGTACGACCCCAGCAAGCCACAGTTTGAACTGAAGACCAATGATCCTGATGTTCACCAACAGGATGGCTTCTACCTCCTCGACTTTGTCAAGGAAGAGCACAATTTCCAAGTCCATGATGGACATGTGACAAAGGATGACCAGACTAATCGAATCAAGGGTCAACTGCTGAAAACCATGGATGTGCACCTCACCACCCACATCAATGACATGTCTACCTACCTCACTCAGGAGTTGCATCGACCACCAAGACCAAGGGTCCTATGGGAAGTATATTGTGGTAAGGCCCGCACTTCTGAGATGGTAACAATCTTTGGCATGGAAACTAGGCAGTTCTCCTTGGACACTGGCTGGAACTTCGACTCCCTCGACCACCAACAGCAGTTCTTGGACTTCCTCGATGACGAGATGCCAGAAGAACTCCTGCTCACTCCGGTCTGCAAGTTATGGTTTCGCATGCAGTCGCTTGGCCGAAGAACTGCACACCAGCAGGAAGCTCTCGTTGCTGCTCGCCAATGGCATCGTGACCGACATCTATGCTTTGTCCGCGAGGCCTATCTTCGACAGGTCAAAGGAGGAAATATGCTCACATTGAGCAGCCTCGCGATGCCAAGTCATGGCAAACTCGAGCACTTCGTGACCTACCTGGCCGACTGACCGATTTCTCTCAATGTCGGTATGGAGCTCAGTGCCTTGATGAGGACAAACAATGGCGACCTCTTCTCAAGAACACTCGGATCCTCACCACCAAGAAGGCTGTGCAGGAAACCATGTGTCTCCAATGCCTCCACGATCACCAGCATTGTCGCCTCGAAGGCTCTGCGCATGGT